CGCATTTTCGGCGTCATCGTCGTCGCCATGGCGGGCGCCGGCGGCAGGAGCAGGGAGCGGCTCACGTCGCGCGCGGAGGAGGCCGCGGGGGGCAAGCGGCGGAGGCAGAGGTGGGAGGTGGAGTTCGCGCGCTACTTCGCGAAGCCGCGGCGCGCCCCCTCGACGCCGCCGCCCCCCGGCCTCCGCTACATATCCCGCGGCAAGCAACTCCACCAGGGCACCTGGCTCCTGGCAGCCTCCCCCGCCGCCCTCTGCATCTCTCGCCCCACCCACTCCTTCGCCGCCCGCGTCCTCACCGTCTCCATCGGCGACGTCGTCTACGTCCGTACCGCGCCGACCCCCTTCCCCCCTCCTCTTTCATTTTCGAATGCATTGCTACATGTTTGTTTGCTTGCCCTCTAGCTAAGCACGTTTGATGATCGCATTTGAAAAATGCCTGTTACTGCTGGGGTTAAGGTTTTTTCCGTGCGCCAACTCATTTCTGCTGAATTAGTTGGTTCTAGAACTTTCTGCTCTTAGTTGATTTGGTTCTATAACTCAGAGGATGCTGGTTCCGAGCGCACGCATGGGTCGACCTGTGCACATGTGTAATTTGGCAGCTTTAAGATTGTTGCATTAGATCGAGCGGTTGGTGACCCAGACACCCAGCATTGCTCTTCGATGTGTTGGTGCTCTGATATTGATTGTTTCAAGAGTTTGCGATATAGACTTTGTGTCTGTGCATTGTGTTGGAGTGTAAATAATACTATTAATCATGGTTGTTTGTTGGCTAGCACTTTGATTGTCACAACATTGCTAGACAGGATCTTAGCCAGTTAACCACCTCTGGCTCTCAGTTGATTTTCCTCACGTTTGAAATAAAATATGCATGTAGAACTGTGTGATGCCCCAAATGTTACCCAAACAATTAATTCAGTGTTTATGAGATTATGCTGTGTTGTATTTTGTTCGATTTAATGTCGTTCTCCTCAATTATTGCTGTTCATATTTGTTTATTTTGTTGTAGCCAACCATGATGCTGCATCTTTTCATGTAGTATAGTTTTTCGTCATATTTTCGTATAACTGCATCGATCATTGTATTATGCGCAATTATATTCGTTGTGCATCAGTTTTACTATTTTAGTTTAGGACCTTTTGGTTCTACACGGAAACCTACAAATGTGCTGCATCTTATAGTTCTATTTGGAAAGAATGAATTACTCCACAATGGGAGAAAGGTGATGCGAGTGGAAGGCCAACAATGAATGCTCACTAAGGTGGAAGAACTCTCTGCATGGGTGTTACCCAGTAGTTCTCACTTTCATGTCACCGAACTGCTACACGTGGAGGAAAAAACATAATACCTTGAATCATTTATGGGCTTTGGTCAGAGCAAGATTGATATTCATTGCATTATGGTCCCTAATAATGTATATAAGGGGCAACCCTGGAAATTCCTTAAGTTGAAAGTTTGAACTGAATTGTGTCGGCTGAACAATTTCATGGTTGCATGTGGTATTGACGTATTGTGTTCATACCTAAGTACTGCTCATCTGCCCACAAATTCTCCCACTGCTATAATTATTATGTTTACAATTCTTGATCTAATATTATTTGATAGAAGTTATGGAGGTTGGAGAAATGAGGATACACTGCGAACTTGAACACAATGTTCATTTCTGTTTCGTCATACATTCTCTTTTCTGTCCGAATAACTCAACACTGAGGTCTATTTTCATGGCACAGGAGGAGCACTATGTATCTATCCTCAACTTCTCATGGCCACAGGTTGCATGCGTGACAGAGTGCCCAGTTAGAGGGAGCAGGGTGGTGTTCGTGAGCTTTTGTGATAGGTCCAAACAGGCATGTTTCCTTGCATCGCTAAATGTGATTCTGATGACTGATTAGTTGAATGAAAAGGAATTTCTTTGTTGCAAATTGCTCACATGGGATGTTTCTACATGCAAAATTACTTATATGAACACATTTCTATTGGCAAAATTTATATACCACTGATTTCTCTGCAGATCCAGAAGTTTGCTGTACGTTTCCCTCGCCTCAGTGATGCAGAATCATTCTTGAATAGTGTGATTGTGAAGGTGCACTTTTCTATCCTTCTGTTATCTTCAGATGCTGTTCATATGTGGCTCAGCACAGTTATGTAGGTCTCTGGAGACAATTCTGCATGCCATTCATACAAACTTCTTTCTTGTATTTGTGTTCATTGGAATGCTCTCTTGTGTTTTATGATTTCTGTCTCTGTATCCAGTGGCTTGCTAATACTGTAGTACTGTTGTGACACCTTTTCATTTTATGTGCTTATTTTGCATGTGAACTTACTGTATAAGATAAACATGTTTTATCTCGTACATAAAAAAATAAATCTGAAGCAGTTTTAGATTCACAATAAATAAAATACTAGTGGAGGTTGATCAACAACCTTGAAAATGCTCACGAGTCACGACCATTTCTTAAGTATTTAATTTGCACTTTTCTTGAAGGATTTTATTTATTTCTTTATCGATGGTAGACAGCGCCTCCCTGCTTACCTGCTTTAATGTGTGAACAGGAGTACCATAATGGACTGGATAAGACTATTTAGGATGATTTTCAGATTTTCACATACTGACTACGTGTTACTGAATTTCGCTTACTTTTGTTGATCACTTTGTTGTGTGGTACTTTACTTATGCCATAACAGTGGTGCTAGTTACTATCTCTGCCCAATTTAGAATGCATTGGTGCAAGTTTGCTTACATGGGAGTCCAGTAATAATATTTACTATTGTGTTAGCTTAGATTTTCTTAAGAGTGATAGAGCAAGTAAAAATGAGTATTACTGTATTAGGCATGATTTTGCTTTCACTTTGTAAAGTATTATGTTCTCTCAAACACTAAATGCATTTGCTTGATGGACTTTAAAGGAACTCTCAAGCAACACCATGGATATCATGCCATCTGGAAGCGACTATATGTGTGAGCTTGAAGATTCATCATCATCTGAATATATTCCTTCTAATGGACTTCAATACAGGTAATAAGTAAAGAAAATGATCACGTCTGTAGCTTGCGGGAATACTTCCTTTGCTAACATCATATTCTATGCCTAGGCCTGATGAAGCGGTAAGCTTTGAGGAGCCAACTTCTGATCACAGGACAGACGCACCTGCTGTTGGCTACCACATGGAACCAGATCAGCCTGTTCTTCAATCTCCCATTGCTACAAATATCAATAGCATCTACTCTGGTTTTCCCGAGGGTTACTCTGGCTTCCCTGAGGGCTACTCTGGTTTCCCTGAGGGTTACTCTGGTTCAGTTAAAATTGAGAGAGGTCGGCAAATCATGATAGGATAAATTGACATTGAAACCACAAATATCTTCATTTTGATTTTTGCTGCTCTATTATCAATAACTGTTCACACATGTAACACAGATGGAGGACCCTTTCCAGCAACTATAACTGATCATGCTCCTGAAAAGGTAATGCTTGGTTATTTGTAAATCCCACAAATGGTCTCTAAGGATATTTTCTTAATATTTGCAAATTTTGCAGGCCTACATACTGGACACTCGGATTGATGGTACAGATAATTTTATTACATTGCTACTTTTTTTGTGATGGTTTCATTCCATCTTTTTCTGACCTGTCAGCAATGCTTGTTGCTACTGCAGCTGCTGGTGGAAATTCGGTTGCTGATAAAGGAAAGGGTGCTGGTAAAGAGATTGATGTTAGTGACGTAACACGTGATATTTTGGCAGGGATAGAGGTATCTTGCTTGTCAAAATTGTTCTGCCTTGGTTGTTCCTAAAACCTCAAAACCAACTTGTATGTCCTAACATGCTCTGTTTTATTTTTACTGCTGTAGACATATGGCGGGGACGACTCTTTTCATGGTATGCTTTCTCTCCCTCTTTCCATGGGAATATTCTTGCACAGTACTTAGTATGCTTGATAAATAACTGCCTTGCTTAGGCTGTTACTGACACATGCCAATTTGAAAACCTATTCCATGTATTTTTATTTATGTTAACTGAACCTCGTTTCACACACTTGTATTGATCAAGTACTCTTGCTTCCCCTAGATATGCTGTCCAAGCTCGACAAAGCCATTGATGAACTGGGTGGTGACATGTTGCTTGCCTCTTGAACGCCGCTGAAAGGCCTTACTTGCCTCTGACAATACGTACAAATGTAATGGTAGTTCGCCTATCATGCCTAGTGTCCGTGTCAGGTCTGCTCTTACAAGAAACACCTAAGACTGTCCTTTATAGCTACAGCCCAGATGATAGCATTGTGGGATTAGCAAGCAATACGCTGTATGCTTTCTCCGATGTACTAGCACGTAGCATGGTCGTGCTTCGACAGCTGACGAATTGTTAATCCAGAAGCTTTAGACCTGGGCGTCCTTTGACTGTTTCTGTAAGCTTGCTATTTCAAATTGAGGGTACGCTCCTTGTGTATCTGCGTCGCGCGTTCTGTCATGCTGTTGCCTTTATGTGTGCCTGAGTACGGAATTCCTGGACTTACGGGGAGCCTCTCGTATTTTTATTGTTTTTTAGGGTAGAGCTTCTCATAGCTGCTTATTACCCAATGTTATTGGAGCGATTTTGTTTAGCATGAAACACATGGGCTCATTGGCCGGTCTAAGGAAGGGCAAAGGTTATTCGGTTAACTGGGTTAGTGAAAAACATTGATGGGCATCCTGTAATGTATGACCGCCTGGAAAAGATCATATCTCATTGATGGGCATCCTGTAATGCATGACCGCCTGGACCAACGAGATGGCATGCCACATCACACACCCTATAGTTTCGTCGATATCTTTTACTCCCTCCGTCTCATAATGTAAGACGTATTTTAACATTAGTGTAGTGTCAAAAAACATCTTATATTATGGGACCGAGGGAGTATTATATATGTTCAAACGCACAAGGCACCTTCAGTAACAATTTACATGTGACAACAACCTGACGAACGCCGGGCTCGCTTCATCCGCCCACCTGGTAAAGCCACCGAACCTCATTTCAGAGACATGCGTTTGTACTCCTTCATGGTGTTTGTGATGGCCTGCTCAACCGGCAGCCTCTCCATGCTCGAGGCGCCGTAGAATCCATGGACCCGGTTCGTGTTCTTCAGGATAAACTCCGCCTCCCGGGGCCCTGATATGGGACCTGGTGGTGGAATTGTGCATCAGAATCACATGATTTATCAAGACACCATCTGTCACTTGAAGCCTGCATGAAGCAGAGACTGCTTGCTTACCTCCATGGCAGAGAACAATGATGTCAGGGTTAACGCCGACTGCGGCATCGGCAATGGCTTGAACCCGGGCAACGCTGTCATCTAAAGTGGCGGCCGTCTTTGCGCCAATTGACCCAGCTGTTGTGAGGCCCATATGCGCGACTACGATGTGCGCTCCGGCCTTGGCCATGGAAGCGCCTTCTTCTGGATTGAAGGCATATGGGGTCGTCAGGAAACCCATGCTGTGGGCTCTTGAGATCATCTCCACTTCCATGCTGGCAAAAGACCAAGATCAATTTAACATAACTTCCTTGAACACACACTCAGATGCAGAACTTAGCATAATTTAAGAATTCAGACATGCAAATCTTCCCTCCAGCAGAAAAATAAATAACGAAAACTAACCATCACGAAGTCACTGAAACAGAAATTATATCCAAAATTCAGTACGGCATTTTTCATGTGCGTATTATATGTTCATGCCATGGCATGGATGCAACATGTATCCGATAAACAAGGATGTGGTGAATCGATACCTGTAGCCCATTCCAGTTTCTTCCAAATTCTGTCTGAAGTTTCCATCAAACAGACCAACCGTAGGGAAATTTTGGACACCACAAAATCCAATGGCTTCCAGCTGTTTAAGAAAGTGATCCATTCTACGAAATGGATCGGTAGCACAAACCCCAGCAAGAACAGGGACTTCTTTAACGACCTAAATTAGCATCTCATTAACTCCCAGCTATACTCAAGCCAGTTGTCAGGAAAACAAAAGAATGAACTCCGTTACCAAAAAACTTACAGGCAACACCTCATTGGCCATCTCAAGTACAATTGCATTTGCGTCAGCAAATGGGAGGAGCCCTGCTAATGAGCCCCTTCCAGCCATACGGAACCTCCCGGAATTGTACAACACAATCAGATCAACCCCACCAGCTTCTTCGAACTTTGCAGATATGCCCGTACCAGCACCGGCTCCAATTACAGGAATACCCTCACCGATTTGTTGCTTTAATTTATGTAGTATTGACTTTGTCTTTTGCAAAGTTTCTGCCGGCATTGAAGAGTAAACAATTAGAATCATTAGGGTATAGAATTTTGTCAATAGATCTCAAGAACTGAAATGAATGACGAACACCCTTTAACATGTCGTGCCAAACAAGGAGACAACGAGCTAAAAATAAAATTATGAAATTTATGTAACTTGTGTGGTATCACATGAGGGTTCGGAATGCTTATTATGCCCTATAATCTAACGCCAAACTTCTGACCTTTCACAGTTATTTCATCAGTGCACACCGGTACTATAATGTGTAAAATCATTAGAGTTTTGACATGCCCCTTTGTAAAATCATACTGTACTGCAAATAGACTAAAACTGCACTTAGTAGCAGCTGAGGTTAATCCTAATTTGTCTGCAAACACGTGAGGTGACACCGAACATTTATGATCCGGCACAGTAGAGAGGTAATAGGTGACGATAGCATTAAGTATTTGGTGATCGATATCGTAAAGGTTAGGCATGTGCCCAAGCTCGTCCCATGTGCATGTTGAGCTCATCCCCAGTTCTTGAGGACTACATGATTCCTTTGAAACACAATGGAATCTCTTTCTGTTCCCATGTCAGAACTGTGCCTAAGTGCTGGCACCATTTCTATGTGTCCTTGGACCAGTGCCTGCGGTCTTCCCCAAGACAACCCCATAATAATTACATGATACTAAGACTAGAGAAAGGTGGACAACATCAAACGGTGAAGCGTACTACAGATTCTTGAAGCACGGCCCCAAAGGAGTTGTCACTCACAACTATCTTGACCTCTTAGATCATCGGAGACACAAAAATTGTGACAAAAGCCTAGGTATGAAGCATGAGAATAAAAACGAAATAAGAACTTCACCCTGAAGGATTTTCTGTAAGGTGGCATAGCAGATAACAAGGTACATACCAGATAACCTTCCACAATTTTTTTATAAGAAACTAAAACAAGTGATTCAATAAACAGTCTGTTTGTGTGGGCATAATAAAATTTGGGCGCATAAGATGGGAACAGAATCACCGCTAACCTGGTCTTGCATCAGGGAAATCCATGGGGGGTCTCCATATGATAGAACTATCTGAAGTCTTCTGTCCTGAAGAAGATTCTTTTTCATTTGTGTCTTGCTTTGGTAGGACCATGTTGTTTTTCTGAGTTATGGCACTAGAGGCCTTTATATCCATACTCAAGAATGCATCCACCAAGGCATTGGCAAATTCAGGATCGTTTATATGATAAGGAAGCAGTTTCACCTGTCAACAAGCCAATCAGCTTAGTTCATTCTACGACCCTTTGTATTCATATTCTAGCGATGCAACTAACATATTATGTAACATGAAGAAACCTGTCTGTTCTCAGTTTTGACAAGACGAGTATTTAACTCATCCAAGAGTGCAGATGTAGCCTCAGGATCATAAAACGGCATTCCAGGTGCATCAATTGCAGAGATGCCCTTCTGTGGAAGGCAAACAGTAACTGTAGATAAAGATTTGTTCAGCTTGTCAGCAATAAACTGAGCAAATTTCTTGTTCTCCTCCAAGGTCGTCCGCATCAACGAAATCTGAAAGATTACATGGTCTTTTACTCACCGCAAGAAAACTAGGAAATGTGAAATCCTCATAAATAGCGGCACGTAAAGTACATACTTGTAAGGTAGTAATTACAGCTTGCATGTAACAGATGGATTTTCTCAACTGAATATGGCGATTCTAATCCTAATCTTATTAGGACTCAAAACAGGTGTGGTACCCTGAGGAATCCTACTAGGACACGTAGTCCACTTGCTTTAGAAGAGGACAAGTGGGAGACTATATAAACTGTTTAGGAGATGGCCAGATGATCTCAATGCAAGCAATTGCGCAAATCAAATCAAGGTCCAAGAAAGAGAGGATTAGATGCTATGTTCCATTAGCTCAATATTCTTTTATAGAGACAGGATCCAAGGGTCCCAAAAGGTCTGAGAGGGTTGTGGAGAATGGAGAGTGACAATCCGTTGTACCCTTCTGAGGTCATGCTCTTGTGCTTGAAAAATTCGCGCTGGCTTTGCCAATTTTTCTCGTTTGCATAATTTGGCCATGGTCAATATTTCGGTATGCTCTATCACATTCATGTACCCTGTGCACGCTCATGCCGAATATCACAAATTTGGATCACATTCGTGGGCAGTGCATAAGAAGAGTATTCAAGTATAACAATAAATGTGTCTTTAAGATAAGATACTGTTTTAGGGATAGGTTGGGTTGTTAGAAATAGTGTTTGACTAGACTACATCTCGTCTATTGATTTACTTGTTAGAGACTCCTGTTTAGAGGGACAAGTGTTGTGTGGTTCAGACTAAGCAAAAAAAGAAGAAGTGAATTCTTCCTTCATCCTACCCCTCTCCTATATATGTATGTACATATATCCACAACCTTACTCTTGGTACCATAATAGCATTGTCTGTAATGATATCCTAGCGTATTAATCTGGTAAACTTATCACTGTGCTAACCTAACAATATATTTATGATTCAGTATTCATAGTGAATATATACATCATAAATAAAATTTGGCAAAGACCAAGTAAATTTAGGAAGCAAAACAAGGTCCAAAATAGGAAAATAAATGCTATGTGTAACCTGTTCATTATGTATGTGGATCTTTCTGTCTAAGAAAGCAGCAGGTATTGTATCATGAGCTCCAAAGTTAACCATATCCAAGGCCCCAACACTCAGAACCAGAGGGATCTTTTTATCTATAGCCGCATCAAACCTGGTCTCATCACATGCCATGATACCTCCAACAATATAATCTGCAACTTCTGTTGTTGTTATGTCCAATACACCCTACATGCAACCAAATGGAAGTAAGATGAAAAACTCTACAGACAGTAAATTAACACCAGTGGAGTTTCTGTCTGGCAATGAGTTTACCATCAGAGTTCATGAGCTGAAAAACATAGTTTCCACAAGACAAAATCTTACAGAAAAATAGACAAGGACAAAAATGTACAAAACCACATGAAAGTATTAATTACCTGTATGAAACCACCTCTAACTAGTTCTTCCATTGCTTTGCCTCCGACACCAGTGGCATGGAATACAAGCGTCTCATACCCTTCTTTGTTCAGTCTATCCTTGACCGCATTTGCACATTGTGTGGTAACACCAAACATTGTAATTCCAACAGTCAGCTTTGTGTCTGTTTCATCTGATTCATTGGAAGCCATTAATATCCCATATACCATTCCGGCGACAGCTGAAGCGGCATTGGACAATATAACACGGCTGACACTGTTTATTCCGCATATGTCAACAACTGAAGGAAATAATACCAGGTCAGATGTTCCAACATAGGGTGCAGTATTGCCACTAGCAACAGTGGATACAATAAGCTTAGGCACTCCGAGTGGTAGGGATCTTAGAGCAGGAGCAATTAGTGCGGTTCCTCCACTTCCTCCTAAGCCAACAGCAGCAACCAGGGTGCCGGCCTCATATCTGTTTTTCAGAAAGCTCTGAAGGGCCTTTGACATAAGCGCAATCGCTTCACCTCTGTCATCTGGAAGATCTTGTTGGCTGGAATCCGGATAGCATGAGAGAACTGTATCTCTTGCAATAACTGCAATGTCTTCAGAATCTTGTGTTGGTACTGTTTTAGTTGTGGACACATCCACTATGCTCACTTTAACCTACCATTTCAATACACCACATGTTATGCCAGCGAAGAAAATAATAAATCTACAGGACAAGGGTGCACTACACACAGGTGCACATAAAGATGTGTCCTGCTTCAGAAGTTTGGATGCTCCAATGTTTAGTACTCCCTCCGTTCCAAAATAGATGACCCAACTTTGTACTAACTTTGTACTAAAGTTAGTACAAAGTTGAGTCATCTATTTTGGAACGGAGGGAGTAGCTTTGTTGATACTTGGCGAATTGTCTATTACTGAGAGTAGACTATCGATCTTTAAGGCTACTGTATGTGGATAACACAAATTAATGAAGGACTCGTGCACTCTGAGCCTTAAGTAGGAAATGTACTTTGGTGAAAGTTGTATAGGAATTCCTCGAGTAAAAATTAGACATGGCATTATGCTGCCACCAAGCAGGCAAGAACACAGTTCCCTAAAAAAAAAGAGCAGGCAAGAACACAGTATGGCAAATAACATAATCCATATATTACCCTGATACTCCCTCTGTTCATCAATATAAGACGTCTTAGAGACCTGAGGGAGTATATCTCAATATTATGACGCAGTTTGCAAGTTCAGACAGGGAACTCCACTTTCTATTTTCAGCGAAGGAATACTCTCTCGGAACTTCACTGTAGTTCTAGAAGTAGGCGACGCCAAAAATCTTGTGGGAACAAACGAATAGAATGAATGCGTGCTCACTCCTTTTTGAGATGGGGAACCGAGAACCGACGATCGCTTCAAGCATACGAATGGAAATCAAATTGCGGATAACTGAGCTCCTCACCTAGTTGCACGCGGGGACGAGAAGATAGGCGGACAGTGTAGCAGTACCTTTGGGACGGAGGCGGAGGCGGCGAGGCTGGAGCGGAGGCAAGTGGCGAGGAAGAGCAGCTCCTCCAGCTTGGTGTCGGCCGTCCCGATGCAGAGCACCTCCATTGCCGACGCCTCGGAGCAGAGCGGAGCAGAGATCGGGAGCTCAGCAGGGGGGAACCGTGACGGATGGGTGGATCATGGCCCATGGGCTGGTGTGTGTATAGGTAGGCTGATGATAGTGGGGACGGGCAAACAGTAGAAATGAGGTGTGTTGACTTGCATTCCATAGCGGTGTCGTGCTGTGCCCCGCTAGCGGCGCCACGTTGGGCACGGCGGGGACAGAGGTGGGTGGTGCTGGGGCCTGATTTGGGATCGGATTGCGATTCTCCGATCTCCAGGCTGGCGATTCGCTGCGTGCTAGAGCATCTCTGCCTTTCCCCCCTAAACTCCTAATTATTTTTTCTAGGAGTAGTATAGTTGACAGGCTTGCAAAACTTTACTCCCAAAACCTTTTTCTATTCATATTCATATATTTACATACATAATAATATAAAGTATATAAAATTCTATTTATGCCCCGCAAGTTGTTGTGGAATTGGTTGCAATTATTTCAATGAGATTTGGTGGTATGAAACATTATCCTTTATATTAACAATAAGGGTATCTTCAAACGATAGTCAAATTGCTCGTAAATGTCCGGACTGTGTGGTCTAAACACTTTGAGCCCTTCAATGTCGTCCACCAAACATCCACGGACCGGTTTGCACGTCCGAGTTCCCACAAATCGGAAGAAAACGTGAAAGAGCTTCCTACCATCGATCAAAGTTGGCATCGTAAGGCTAATCTGTATTTCTTAGGATTTTACCATGGCCACATATATGGTTGGTAGTGCTAGTGACAAAAATGCACTTTACATAGGTAATGAAGAAAAATAATTTTAGGCATCAAGGCTAGGGGCCTAGGGCTGAAATTTGTAGAGTTCTTATATGGCATATGAAAGCTACCATAATTTTATGGGGGTTTGATCTGCTCTAGAAATATAAGCTCTAGTACAAAAGTGTGTTTTGGCCGATTTGGAAGGTTATAAAGGAAGGGCATTATATAGGATGATCTTGGGGCTCACACTTTTACGGTTTTACCAAAGATCAACATTGGTATAAAAATGCTATACTGAATTATGAGAATTTTGACAGGGCCATAAATATGGTTTATATTTTTTTTCCCAAAAAGGGCAGGAAAGAAAAGAATTAAAAAAATGAAATATATTGATCAAGGCTGGCCAATATATTTATATATCTGGACTTTGCAAGTCCCAGTGAGTGTCTAAGAATTTTGGTGGAATCATCTCATGTCTAGAAATGGTAGCTCCTTTGTAATGCCAGGAATAAAAGAATCATTCCCAAATATGAAAATTAGGTTTTAACAAAGAAGGAATAAAGATTTGATGAATTCCAGGCATTGGAATATGGGCAACAATATTCCTTGGATGTAGGATCAACCATGGCAAGCTCAAGTTTCATCTCATACCAAATTCCAAGTAAGTTCCAAATAGATCCCAAAAAGGACAGAAGACAGAACAGAGTAAAAAAAATCTCAACTCAGATTTTTGGTGTGCGACACTTATTCATCATTTAACAAAATGGCGAAGTAAAATATCTAAATCAATTATTTAATTAATGCAGTAATGCTTATGATGCAAAAATTAAATAACAAACAATTTCTAATTTGGCATAAACCCCCGGGCTGTTACATACGGTATCATGTTCCATCAAGCTAAAATTTCCAAATTTATACAACCTCAGTTTATATATTCTAAGCTCAAGGGAATGCAAGATGCATTCCTCACATGATTGAGGTCTCACACTCTGATTACGTAATTCACGTGCCATTCTAATAAAAATACACAACCTCCAACACTTATTCAAAGTATATGAATATTGGGGACGATAGGATTTAGGAGTTTAAAGGAACCTATTTAGGTATTCATCCACGGTAATATAATGCACATCGGGGTAAAGCTCAGTTGCTTCAACTCCAAATGATGGGTCGATCTCAAAGTTAGTGTGGTCCCCCTTCAACCAGACAGAGTGGCTGATTGCCAGTGCTACATTCAGCGGCGCTGACGACTCTGAAACATACCCGAGAGGGCAAAATCAGTACAAAAGATAAGTATAGACGGCAACTACAATATTATAAAAGTAAAACAAGGCTTTTATTTTTACCTTGAATCTTATTCAGGAGTTCGTCCTCTGGGAGGTACACCCTCTCAAGTGTCTTACCAAGTTTCTTCTCCCAGAGTGAGACAAGCTCGTTATGGGACAAAGTGTTGCTTCGTGGTCTCAGATACAGAATTTTGTTCAGGGTCCTTGGATCATCTACAGCTTTAATAGTGTAGGTTCCCACGTCTTCTTCCGCCGCAAAGATTCCTATTGTCGAAAATACAGACATAAGAGTGCAGCCATAATCCCAGTCCTTGTTTAATTTAAATTCCGTTCTCAAAATAGAGATTAATTTCTCATATTGTAAGACTGTACAATCATATTAAGGGCATCTTGATCGGATCTACCTTTTACATTTCCATCACCCATAATGAGAACCTTCTCAGTTGGAGGCTCCATGATCCCAATCTGCGGAAGGCTTCGCAAGAAACGACCAGCAAAGAAGTTGGAAGAGACATATGTGTAGGGAATCCCCTCAGCCTCAATGGCACGCCTTATACGAGCTTTCCCACCGAATACTGTCTTTGCAGGTTTAACTGCATGGTTACGATCCACATCATTACCATACTCTGATGGGAAGAATCTCTGCAAGAAGCTCATCAATATCAGAGTTCAGTAAGAACTGCTGTAGAAAAATTATAATGACATGAGGAATGCATGGTATCAGTCTATCAGATATGAAAAAGGGGCACATTCAACATGTTTTGAACAAAATAACCACAACTAATTCCCGTCCATCTCAATGATTTTTTGTCCACCATGTTGTGGAAGGCAGGGAACAGCCTAAGTTGTCAAACCAGTTTCTTAGTACCAAAATGACTAGTGTTCTCATCAGCAAAATACGAATTTTGAAGAAAATGCAATTCACAAGTTGTTTCACATAGAAGAGTTTAGGGTGCACAGTTCGTTGCAATTTACAGGCCATCATTTATTGCATAACCATCAATAACAAAGAAGTTTCGAACTATATTATCAGCTAAAGTATTCATAGTAAGCCATAAGGTGTGCACACATAACAATTTGATATTGATGATTGGGACTTTGGAAATTACCTTTACATGCCCAACTTCCTTAATTGCCGAGATAATGAGAGTTTGATCCGGTAGCTGTTGATAACCTACGGCCGAGATCACAACATCTGCTGATTTAATGGCTGTCACCAGGCTCTCATGATCATACATATCACCCTAATAATCCAACAGTAATGTAACAGTTACACATCACTATCCAATCAAACTTATATCTTGAGGTCATTATTTTAGTAATCAACACGGGGTAACGACACAATCAGGGATGGCTATCATCCTTGCCAACATTATAGTTTAGTCTTGAAGGGCATGAAAGGTTGTTGACTTGCCGCCACCTTGTGAATACATTTCAGTATTTTATCAAACAGAACAACGACTATGCTACAACATATACCTTTTGTCCCCAGCAAATTGGGGCTTGAACACTGAAGAATCTTAAAAAGCCTAGCAGATTTGATAAAGATAAATTCTGTACATAACCCTTATGGCCTTGTCCTGTAAATGGGCCCTTGTGAGCCTCCAAAATTCCAAGCAAATCACCTAATCTTTACTTTCTTTAAGTCCTTTTTTTAGGGTGTTCTTTAAGTCATCTTACATGACTGTTTTATCTATTTTGACTGGGCTAATCCCCTTCCCATTACTCTCATTTCTGTCTTGTTCATAGATATGCCACAACAGAAACCAAGTTCGCTGCTTTGTTTAGCACTCGCGCACCGCACAAGGGACAAGAAGAAAAAAGAAAGCCGCCATGAAGCAATCCAGAGAATTTCTTATCACTGTTTCTGCTATCATTTTGACCCAAAATGGCACCACCCTTTTATAGAAGTTAGACCCACCAACCTTCATAAAAAGAGAGGAAGGATCTGGATAAGACTAGCAAAGAAGAGCACGACGGCTGCTGACCTTGACGATGGTGACGCCGGCATCCCGGAATCCCTGGAGGACGGCGGCCTTGGCTGGGTCGGCGGGCGCGGCGTCGCGGACGAGGACGGCGGTGGGGTGGCCCTCGCGTGCGCTGGCGGCGACGATGAAGCGGCCGATGTAGCCCGTGCCGCCTATCACCAGCACCCGGCTCCTCCCCTCACCTGCAGCCGACGCCATGTACAGCAGAGCGGAAAAATAGAACAAGGCAAGAACAGAACGGAGAGGCAGAATGTAGTGGTTTTCTTAAAAAATAAAAAAGGAAAAGTGCAGTGAAGTGGAGATAGACGAGGCCGCGAGTACAGGGGAAAAGGTGTGATTAGTCGAAGAGTCGTGACTGGGAAGGAAGGCGGCATAATAACAGAGTCATGAAAGGCTTTTACCCTGCTTTATAAATAAAGCAACGCCGTATAATCAACGTCCAAATCCAAAACAAGAACGACGGTCGGGGGCAACAACACGATCATGCCTAATAAACATAGGAGAAATAAGAAAAAAAACCACCTAGTGGCTGCCGACAAGCAGTCCTACGAGGACGATAGTCGACGCATTGTAGTCAGAAGCGCATCAAACATGAGACCAAAATGATCACGGTCGCGCTGCCTAGAAAGCGGGTGCCTGTGCTGCAGAAAAGGAAGGAATTTGAAGAAGAAGTCAGACGCTTGCCTCGGAAACACCGGCTTGATCACCATTTTATTACGCATTGTCCAAAGAGTCCACAACATCGCCGCAAAGATGAGCCAGAATAAAGCGGCGATGTAGCCCCGGTTGGATAGCCTTGGTCTGGAGGAACTCCGCGAGGTCCAGGGCCTCCCAGTCGGGCCATAGAGCTTCAGGATGAACATCCATAGGACTCGAGCCGCCGTACATAAGAATAGGATATGGGTCCCAGTCTCAGACACCGTGCATAAGCGGCACAGGCCATCCCCCGGACCATGCCGCTTAAGCACATCGG